CAATGCTAGTGGTGATGATGAGATTAAAATCATCAATATAGACACTTTCCCTTTGCATCTGCAGCTTGATGCTAATGGTGACAACATTATTTGGTCAGTCCTGGAAATACCTTTCATCAAATTTAGGGATATCTTCAAGAGAAATCAATTGGAATATTTTTTTCAGAAATAACTATTTTAGTCATTTTTTAAATTTACCCATTGATCAACTTCCACGTTTTCAAGTGACCATCGTGTATGAACTTTTGAAAAGAAGGTTCATTTTTGAAAATTTCAATAAGAAGGATGAGATTCTAATTAATTATTGTGGCATGCCAGTTTTCTTTGGCATAAGAGAGTTTGCCATAGTTACAGGGCTATCATCCTCCTGTTGAGCCCATTCCTGAATACATTGTTAAAACAGAACCACGAAGAAAGAAAGTAGTTAAAGAAGTAGCAGAAGCAGGACAATAGTCACTGCCAACTGAGGAGCAGGACTTGATGTCTCTTGTTGGCAAAAGCTTTAAAAATTCTGACTTATTGAGTTTGTTGGAACGGGAGGATACACCAAGGAAGCACCAGGAGTCATTGTGCTTACTTTGGTTTACATATAATATACTTTTGCCGAAGGATCCAGGCAACAACATAAATTTAAAGTATGTCAATTTTTGTCAGGATATTAAAGCTTTCAAGAACTAGTTGTGGGGTCATGAGATCTTTCATCTAACTATCGACTACATGTTGAGGCCTTTAAGAGAAAAGACCAGTAACTTGTTTGGGTTTCCATGGTTTCAGGTAAAGCTGAATGTTTTTAATCTTTTTTATATTATATTAAGTAATAATTCAACATTTGATTATTGATAGGTTTTCCTTTTTTATAGGCCTAGGAACTTGAAGTCATTCCTTATTTGACCCATCAAGTAATTGTAGAAGAAGAGAGATCATCTTCAAGGATGATGAGATGGTTGATGGCAAGAACAAAAACTACTAAAGAAGGGCATATTCCAGATCTTTTTAACCCTCCCTTTTATGCAGTAAGTTATTATTAGTATATTAAAGGCGTATGTTGCTACATTTGTGTCACATGTTGTACAGATGATTCATTTGTTGCTACATGTGACACATGTCGTAACAGACAATTCATCTGTGGCAACATGGTAATTCTTACTGATGACTTATTTTTACAATTTTAGGTTGTGCATCCATGGATTACCCCAACAGAAGAGAAATTGCAAATGCTATATCTAATAACTCTAGGGTTGTTTGAAACAATTTTTGATCCTTTTGTGGATAGAGTTAAAATGGTGTTGGCTGGAGCAACAACTATCAAAAGAGAGAGAAAGTTCCTAATGAAGTCGCTAATGAATTAGTTGTTTTGATGGTACTGGTGCTGATGATGGTGTTGATGTTAGTGTTGGTACTCCTGCTGGTGTTGGTGTTGGTGCTGCTGATGGTTCTGGTGTTGGTGCTGCTGATAGTGCTGGTGCAGGACAACACGAAGGGGCTACTTCTTGTAGACGATGTTGTGGCATTTTCTGTGAAAAATGTAAGAAACATGATGCAGATTCTACCAAGTATCTTCAAAAACTGAGTGAAGCTGTCAATGAGTTAAAAAAGAAAAGGAGTGTGAAGGGCAATGTATCAGAGAATTCGCGCTATGCATATACTCCACAAGCCAAGCGGAGAAAAGAATCATTTGCCAAGACAATGAAAAATTTGAAGAGGAAGATGTTTGGAGAAATTTCAAGGGTTGTAATGGAGGAAATGACGAAGTATAAAAAGTTGAATATTTATAGGCGTCCCTCTATAGCTGAAAAAGCCGAAGTGTAGAAGGTGACGAGTGAAAAAGATATTCGAATGGAATACAACATGCATGTTTTTACCGGTCAAGATTTCTGGAACATGAGAAGCCTAACAGTTTAGTGGGAAGACTGGGTAATCCTACTTTTTATATTATTAACTATTCTTATATCTTTTCAGTGACTCCTCGTAACTATTTAATATTATTTTTTTATTTGAATATATTGACGAAATCCTTAACCTCATGAGTCAGAGGCATTGGAAATACTCGGAATACTATGATCCCAGAGATAAATCCTGGATCTCAACTTTTATACGAACTTCGTACATAGATATAATCAAATAAGCAACGAGGCAACAATCGTTGATGGTGAAAACATGAGTCAGTTACTAGACGACTTTGTATGGGATGATGATGCAAAAAGGATTTTGATAGTCATGAACACGCCGGGTACCATTTTGTGACTCTCGAGATTCTCTTGCATGAGGGATTGATTAATGTTTCTGACTACAACCTGTCTTCGAGTTGTTGCCTCAATTGTTCAAGCAGAGTGGAATAATGAATCATTTGCCAGAGAAGTTGCTCACTCAACAATGAGAATTTAACGGTAAAAAAGAACCTATGTTAAAAAATTTAAGTGGATCAGCGTGCGGGTCATATTCCATTGCATTCATTGAGCATTTGATTAGTCGGATAGAATTGTATCCACCCAATTCACTATTATGTGACAATTTAATTGAACTGATGCAATATGTTTGGCTTATGGGATAATATCTCAGAGCTTAAATCCTTGACATTATGTTTGTAATTAAAGACAATGTTTAATTTATCAATTATGTTGTTTTATTTTATCTTAAAGACAATGTAATTAAATACAATGTTTATTTTATCAATTCGCCTGTCATAACATGTTGCTACAGATGATAATATGTAGCAACATTTGAGCCATATGTTGCTACAAATGATTATACGTAGAAACATTTGAATCATATGTTGCTACAGCTGATGCGTATATCGCAACATTCGTCCGTCACAACATGTGGCATATGTTGCTACAGATGATTATATGTAGCAACATTTGAGTCATATGTTGCTACAGATGATTATACGTAGCAACATTTGAGTCATATGTTTCTACAAAAGATTTTATAGTAACATTTGAGTCATATGTTGCTACAGTTGATGCGTATATCACAACATTCATCCGTCACAACATGTGGCATATGTTGCTACAGATGATTCATCTGTAGCAATATTTATTGCATTTGTTGCTACAGATGACTATATATAGCAATATTTAAGTCATATAATGTTACACATGATTTTATGCAGCAACATTTGAGTCATATGTTTCTACAGATGATTTTATGTAGCAATATTTGAGTCATCTGTTTCTACAGATAATTTTATGTTGCAATATTTGAGTCATATGTTGCTACAGCTAATGCGTATATCGAAACATTCATCCATCACGACATGTGACATATGTTACTACAAATGATTCGCCTATAGCAACATTTGTTGCATTTGTTGCTACAGATGATTATATATAGCAATATTTGATTCGTATGTTGCTACATATGATTTTATATATCAATATTTGAGTCATATGTTGCTACAACTAATGTGTATATCGAAACATTCATCCATCACGACATGTGGAACATTTGAGCGTCAAAACATGTGGCGTATGTTGCTACAGATGATTTGCCTGTAGCAACATTTGTAGCATATGTTGCCACTAATGATTATACATAGCAACATGTGAGTCATATGTTGCTACAAATGATTATATGTAGCAACAATTGAGTCAATGTTGCTACAGATTATGCGTATATCACAACATTCGTCCATGACGACTACGTAATAATTTGTTGTTTGATCAGGAGTGCAAAACTACATCTATTTAATTCCACAACTATGATAATTGTATTGGTTTTACACAAATACATAATAATTTTGTGTCCTCTATAAAATTCTTCTTGGTAATGCTTAAAAATTCAAGAAAAAAAAAACAAAGAACACCAACATTAGCTTCCAGACGCTACAACATTTGGTCTTTTTCTACTCCTTCATCCTCCATTCGGTACTTCTTTTGATATGACTTTCATCAACAGTGTCCAACTCTTTAATTTTGTTCGCCAGTCAGAGAATAACGAAGTTGGATCGTATATCAACATCTTCACGATCCCTCCATCTAAAGAAGTTGCATGAATTCTCCTAAAATACAAACCACAAAGAAATAAATTTTAACTAAAAAAATAAAAAGAACTGAAATCTCCAAATATTTTAGAAATAAACATACATACATGATATCGTAGACAAGACCAAAATCTGCGACCTGGATTGTCTTTTGACCATGAAGTTTGCATTGAAAGTAGATTTCCATGTTTGCAATATATTTTAACATTTAACATAGTATCATTTTCATCATCACAAATTCGACTTAGTATAACATTTGACATCATACCATGGGAGTACCAAAAATTGGTTTAACAAACGGCTAATCAAATATAGAACAGTGTGACGGGGGAGTGACTGACTATAAAATAAAATAAGATCATTACATTTAATGTGAAGTGACAGGTCCCATAGGAGATAGGACATCCTAGGAGAGAAAGAGAGAGAGAGAGAGTGAAAAAAGGCGTCAAACTAAAGCGGCAAAGATGAAAAATTTGAAAACCCTAGTCTTGAAATGAAAATGAAAACGTATTCTAAGAATGGGTTGGGCCTATTTTACTTTTTGTTAAATAGAATGAGCTTTGCCTATCATTAGGCCACTTTTAAAAAAGACCGTTGTTATAATTATATGTCGCAACAGTTTCATTATATGTTGCGACATTAACAACATATGTTGCTACGGATGAAAAATCAAGGAGACACTAATAGACGATTTTATCAATTTAGGAAAGGAAAAATGGAAATTTGAACCACATTTTAGTGATTTAAAACATAAATAATCAATAATAATAAGATATTGTTGACACCCAATTTTGACCCACGTTGGTATAAATTAATTATCGAGCTTCGAGAGTTTTTCAAATTATTTAAGTTAATTAGTTTTTATAAATCTTGCGAATTTTTTTTAAAAAAAAAGTAATAAAAAAAATATAAAAAAAATAAAAAAATTAAAATATATATATATATATATATATATATATATATAAATTGAAAATATATATATAATAAATGAATTTTATGTTACTTCAAATGCGTTTTAACATAACTTTCGACAATATATACATATTTACATAACTATGTATATAATTTGTATATCTCATGATTATTCGAAAGCTATTTTTACTTTAATAAGTTTCTTCTTAGTTCAAAATTATGATTATATTTTGAATCGCTATTTTATTACTAGATAAATAAGCTCGTTAATAAATTTATACCAATTTCGTTTTGTCTTAAATAAAATGGCTAGTTATTAATTTGAACTCATTTTCCCTTTTAATTCGGAAGAATCAACTTTCATCCTAATACTTTAACTCCAGGCCCATCTCAGCTCTTCCAGCCCACTTCAGCTTTTAAAAAGAACAAACCCAATTCCCAGGCCCAACCTCCTTTAGTTTAACCCAACCCACTTCATCCTAACCCACTCCCTTCTCCCCTTTACTTATAACCCGGCCCAATTCCTCTTAACCCAGCCCAACCCCAATTCCCGCTCCGACCCATTTCCCCTCCCCTTCCTCTCCCTCACCCCACGCGACCCCCCCAAAACAGAAAACCAGAACAGACGCGAACGGAAAGAAAAAAGAAAAATTCCCAGAACCCCGCGTCTCCCTCACGCACGAACCCCTCCCTTTCTCCTCCCTCGTGTCACCTCACGTGACCTCTCCCTCCCAACGTCTCTCTGGCAGTACGTCTCCAGCTACTGCGTAGCAGGTCGTACTGCTCGTCCTAGCAGTAGCGGATTTGCGACACGTAGCTCGCTAGTACCACAAAATCATCTCCACCCTCCACCTTGCTCTCAATCCATTGGAATGGCTTAAAATTTGAAGAATCTTCGTAGCATATTCATTTTGTTGGATAAATTTTGAAATTTCGAATTCGAAACGGGTCGAATTCGGTTTTATCCGCCTTCACTTGGAACCCTAATTATTTTCCTATTTAAACCCGATCTTCCTTCAAACAACGGGTTGGAGGAATTTTGTTGGGAAAATGCTGCTTCCTGTTCTGTATGTGGTTAGAGATTTAGGTTGGGAATTTTTGTTGAAAGTTGGGGTTGGATTTTTGGAAAAAGGAACTCTATCACTAAGGGGTTGGGAGAATTTTTCGAGAAATATTTGATTTCTTTTCGGTCTGTTGTAGAAGAATAGTTGGAAAATTTTGAAAAAATTCTTTTGGGTTGTTCTGTCTGCTTCTGAGGGAACTAAAGGAAGTTTGTTTTGGGTTAGAAAATTTGCGTTGAAACTTAAGAGAGAAAATCCTTGGCTTCATTGTTTCTTTAGATAGAAAGGTTTTGGGAATTCCAGGAATATCGCTTCATCACATAGGACTTGCAAGCTGTTCGATGCCGTGACTCGTATTCCTCCTTTGTGTTCGTGTTTTTTTTCGTTTGGTGTGGAAGTTGCTGTCGTTTGCTGCTTGTTCCTGTTCCGTTCGCTGCCCGGAAAGAGGTAAATCCTTTCTTGATTTTGTTTAATTCTCGGTTCTTATATATTGTTCTTTTTATGATGTATTCTTGGTTGTCTTTGTGTTCTGTTTATGTTTTAGTCTTGTTTTGGGTCTACATATGTTAGGATTTGGTTAATGAGTATTAGTTATTAATGTCTTTTCTTTTTATCTGTGTATTCATTCTGTTGTGGAGTAGTTTAGTGGTAGTTGTTAGCACATTAGATCTCACTCTTGCTCGACGATAGACTCTTCATGGTTCATTTTCTTATTCCGTTTGTGCTGGGTCAAACGATGTTGAGATATTCGAGCGTGAGTATATATGGTTGTGCTGCTCTATTTCTTTGCTTACTGTTTTCCAGCTGCTTCTAGGCAGATTTTGACTTGGTTTGTGTCGATTTTCAGCATGATTTAGTTAGATTTTTCTTTATAGTTAGTATCCAGCGATAGTATGTCTCCTGTTGTCCTTGCCGCCTTAGTTAGCTGCTCTAAAAAGGGTAATCTCGCCTCCCTCTTTACCCTTCGATACAAGGGAGTATGTAGTTCCGATTTCGAGCATGCTGGGTATCATTCTATTTCTTCACTACTTGATGACGTGTTCTGGTTGTATTCCTCGTTGTTTTCGTGTATCAATAACTTTCTCATCGTGGTTAATTTAATCTCGCAATAGTCATTCATTTTCTTAGATGATTCGAGGGCTGGGCCTTATCAATACAGTCTTGTAAAAATGAAGTTTGGTGTTGACTTTGTTCTTAGAATTCATTACTGTGTTGTTTTTCTTAGTTGTTACTGTTATTATTTTTATTTTTATTTCTTTTCTTTCTTTCTTTTTCTTTTCTAGCATGAAATGTTTCTAAGGTAATGCACTCTTTGATACCTTAAAACTTCTATTCGAATTTAGTTTATTAAATTGTTGTTGACGTCCGATCACTGTTTCTTATGCACTAATATGCTTCTATGGATGTTTGATTTCTTTTCCCTTTCATGTCTGCTTTTGCTTTATCCCTATTAGTGGCTAATTAAAACTGTGTCATGCGTTGTGACGATATTCAGATAGTAGTATTTATTTTGTTTTAAGTATTTCGTGATATTAAATCATTGAGTTATCGCTTACACTTATTTCACTTTATTTTGAATATGAAATCGGCCTGAGTTCGACAAGGACTCACCCCTTCTCTCGCATTTCAAGAGAGCTATAAAGGTTCAAGTTAATTCATCGAGTCAAGCCTTGAAACCGACGACGAGGAGATCCCGGAGTTAGAAGATTGGAGAAACTCGAAGAAATGGACTAGAAGACTTTTTCTTTATTTTGTTTTGTATTTTATTTTTGTAATGGGCATAAGCCCTTGTTGCTTTTCTTTCTCGTATTTTATTTTGTACATTTAGATTAGGACAGGTGAACGGGTTAAAAAAACCCAAAAAACAGGTGGGTTCAAAACTCGATCAAGGCGAACAGAACCCGAGTTTGGACCCAAATCTCTCTCTCTCTCCCCTCCCCGTTACTTGTTTTATATGTTTGCGTGGACTATCGTTAGTCTAGGGTTAGAAACTCCAAACCCCCGTCGACGCCTTTTATTTTATCAAATTAAAAAATTAAAATGAATCTTAAAACAATATAGTTTCAAACTCACGAGTTGGCTTAGAATTAAAAAATTTTAAAAAGTTAACTTTAAACGGAATTTTAAAGCAATAATGTCTTATTAAGTTCGTTTAAGATTTGAGAAATCTAACTTCAAAGATTGCAAAAGTTAAAATAAATAGTCAAATTGTTAATCGCTGGAAAATCGTATTAAGCGGAGCGTCTTAGGTGCCTTTAATACCTTCCTAAGACGCTAATAAGAATCCCGAACCCTTAAAATGTTTTCAAAACAATTTTTCTGTTTAAGTTGTTTAGAAACAAGTTTTCTTAATTTTCTCAAAATTAAGTGGCGACTCCTAAAGGTCGAAAATACCCTTAAAATAAAACAAACTCTTTTCGAAATAATTACTTTTTCGATAAAACAGAAATGACGACTCTGGTGGGGATGGAGGATTCTAACCTTAAGACTAACTTTATTTGACTAACTTGTAATTTATTGTTTAATTGTTTAAATTATTTCGTTTTTGAAAATTGCATTTTTCTCATGGCATAACTTCCGCCAAATGGCAAATAGACTGCATTAGGAAACGGAAGTTACGCGGTTTACCGCGACTTCTCTCAGAAATACCCCAAGAAATCATTTGGGAGTATCGAACAAATAGTCGGAATGCGGTCATCCGGCGTTGTTCGATAGCTCCATCCCGATGTTTGTCCGACTCGGGTAACTTTCTATTTGAAAAACAACTCTAGTAAACCTAGGATAGAGCTAAATCAAAAATCCCGAAAATAGCGCATATGCCTAAGATGAACCAATACCCATGGCGTGTTGGGCCCATTTGAAGACCACCTTGAGTCCAAAACGGCCCACGGTCTAAATGGACGTTCATACTTATATGTTTAAATTTGAAGGATGTATTGGTGTTCGAGAAATATTTCAAAATGACGTATACATCCCTCAAATCGCTAGGGCCACCCTTGGCAGAAAAGGGTCACATATCTGTTTAGAACGCGTAATATTTGTTTATAAATGCTTATGTGAGTATGTTGTTTTATCTGGAGATATTCTAGCTCACTCTTCTTCAAATATTTTTAGAACCCATAAGCATAAATATCAAGTCACTATCAAAAGTGCGTCCAAATACTCCTCTTTAGTACTATACTAATATCTGAAAAAAATTTAGCATTTCAAATCAAAAGAATCTTGAGAAATTTTATCTTCTTCGACTCTTACAAAGAAATTAGAGTTACAAAGTACAGTAATGAAAAATACCGTCAACTTTGTCTCAACTCAGGTCGACATTTTTATTTACTAAATCCCAAAGTCAAGTAGACAAATTCCTGTCTATTTAATCATCACTCTATGTTGGTGAGCTAGTTTATCTCCGGATAAAGCAACTCTTATTTGTTTTCACCTATATGTGATATCTTGTATTATTTACGACCTCCAGACACTAACATATTGGTCTTTTGAGTTTTTTTTTCATTTGTCAGGTACTTAAACTGATTTGTGTTGATAAGTTGGTTGATCATCCGTATTTCACAAGGTCTAAGGTCCCTAAGGATTCCTTATCCGATCAAATTTGCAAGAAGAAAAGACAACAATGGGGGATAACAATGATGAGGTTGACATGAATAATGTTGGCGTGGCTCAACCCGCCGCCGCTGATAAAAATGAATTGATTATGCAGTTGACGCAACAGATTGCCGAAATGAGGGTCGAAATGCAAAGAATGCAAAATTTGCCTAATCCAATTTCATCCTTCAACCCTCCAAGAGATGGAAGACCTCCACTCCACTTTCCTCCACCAAGCACGGAACAGGTTCAGAACCTTCTCTCTAACCCCTTTCAAAATCCTCCAACCATTGACTTAACTACCCCCAATCCCCGTCACGCCACCACGTCGTGTCAAGCGCCACATCATCCTCAAAATACTAGCCTTCAAATCCTCCACTTCCCTCAAAACCAAAGTACAAACAATGCTCAGACCTTCCCCCGTCTTCAGAACCAAAATACTGATCCTCAAACTTCCCCCCAAAATTATCAAGCCACTCAAAATACCCAAAATCCCTCCATTGTTCCACCCATACCTCAAAAGACTACTTTCCAAATCCCAATTCCAAATGAACCTTATGCTAACTGTTCCGAGCTTGATCACTATAAGGAACAGGAGAGAGAGTGGAGGTCAAAAGAAGAGGTAGTCAAGGTGAATATGAAAGAAGAGATCAGGAAAGCCGTGAAGGAGTTGCACTACATTTCCGAAGTCGATGGGTTGAGCTACAAGGATTTATGCATCCACTCGAATCTCGACTTTCCGGAAGGGTTCAAAGTGCCAAAGTTTGTCACTTTTAATGGAACAGGAAATCCTCTAGCGCATCTGAAAATTTATTGTGATCAACTCGTGGGAGTTGGCAAAAACAAAGCATTGTTGATGCGTCTCTTCGGTCGAAGTCAAAGTGGGAGAAGCTTTGGAAGATGGTTTCAAGACTGGAAAGCTCACCAAACTTATCGCATTGCGATCAAATGGAAAATCTGCTAGAATCAGTGATATGGATAAATCAAAAGGAAAAGTGGAGGAGGTAAGTATGATCACGGCTACCCATATGAGGTCAGCTTCTCAAAGGAAACATCAAAACCATAATGTCAATCAGGAAAAATTTCCTCGCCCAAAATTCAGGAAGGCTCCAAAAGTATTTACACCATTAAGGGAATCTCAAACTCAACTTTATGAAAGGTTGAAGGCAATGGGTATGCTCCATCCTATAGAAGGAAGACCAACCAATCCTTTGAGAAAATTTTACAGAGCTGACCACAGATGTGCTTATCATTCAGGAGCTGTTGGACATGACACAAAGAATTGTTCAACTCTGAAGCACAAGTTACAAAACATGATCAACAACAACTTGATCAATATTGAGGAAACCACCTGAATAGATGACATATTGGATGCTCAAGAGTGAGTACAAGACATTTCTGAACAGAGTCATTCGAAGATATTCATTCGAGCCAAATTTTGCATATGAAGTTTTGTCACCTTTCTTTTGAAAATGTATCGCACATTTCTTGTCTGAACTACGTTCGACTTGAATTCTCAAGAATGAGATATGTAGGCGGCCTATGTCGGCCTCGGTTATTTCATTATCAAAACTTCCTATTTTGGTTAATCCCTGAGAGGGGAACTACGTTTGACCTGATTCCTGCTCCAATGGGATACGTAGGCGCCACAACGGCTCGGTCATATACCCAGTAAAATTTCCGTTTCCCTTCATAATGGAAACTGGGACAGAATTTTTGAGAGGATCTCAAAAATTCATTTAAAGTTGGACTTCTTTAACATGTCAAAACAGAAGACCAAAATTCGACGGAGATTAGCCTTGGGTGGATCTCAAAAATTACGACAATCTGGTTTGCAACTGGGACAGAATTTTTGAGATGATCTCAAAAATTCCACAAATGTCATTTATTACTTATTAAGGTAAATTGGGACAAATTTTGGGGAGGGACCTCAAAATTCCAGAGTGAGTAACCTCAGAGTTAACAGAGCAAGTTATGAGAGTTCTTATATATTTTAGACCGTGACAAATTTTTGAGGAGGGTCCTCAAAAAATACCATCAAATATGTCATATAAAGAATGGGCGAGCATGCAAGCCAACTGCAAGAAGGAGCATGGAGACAAAACCAACACAAATCAGTCTTTCAAACTAAGAATTTTTCTTTGGATGCAAGAACATTGAAGTCACAAAAATGGCTATATAATGCTGTCAAGAATGACAAAAGGCGCCACTTGCACCCATCGTGGACTCCTCAACAAAACCTAGAAAATCTTCCACCTTATTTTATCTCTATTCCTTTATATTGCCTCAAGTGGTTTCTAAACAAGTTTCTTTTTATCTTGCAGGAATATTATCGAGCCATCCACCTCGTTACAGTTGGAATATTATCGAGCATCCACCTTGTTACAGTTGGAATATTATCGAGTCATTTACCTCGTTACAATTGGAATATTATCGAGCATCCACCTCGTTACAGTTGGATAATTATTGAGCTAGCTAGCTCGTTACGGAGAGCTCCCAAAGAGGAGAAAACTATCTCCAAAACCAGTGACTTCACTGAAAGCAGGAGGCTGTTCATCTCGTTCATGTCAAGATGCTTGAGAATGCGTTTGTTTATTTCAAGACATTCCCAACAATATGAAATTCATGAAAGGTGTCCAGCCAGATTCAAAGGTGAATCAAACAGGAATCTCGATGAAGATTTCACGATTTCCGTAAAGGACACTATTTGCATTAGATTATCAAGGCAAGATAATTATTGTCAATCAAGACAACGCATTACCCCTATAGAGATAGTTATTTTATTGTTATCGATCAACTCGATGTATTATCTGGAGGTCGTCTGCCGTTATCATCAACACAGACAGTATAAAAATCCATGCATCGCGGAAAAGTCATGCATCGCAAAAATCATGCATCGCGAAGAATCACGCATTACGAAAATCATGTCTCGTTGAAAATCATGCATCGCGGAAAACTCATGCATCGCAGAAAATCATGCATTGCGAGTCAACAATTATGCACGACGAGAAGAATTCATGCCTCGTCAAAATTTGCACATCGCGAGAAGATTTCATTCCTCGCTGAAAGTTATGCATCGCGAGAAGATTCATTTATCGCGGGAATTTACGTATCGCGGGAAGATATTCATGCCCCGCAAGAGGACATACACGGATAAAGAAAGAGCAATATTTGTCCATCGGCCTCAACATGCATCTTTTATTTTGATGAAAAATAAATATCAAGAAGAGCATCAAAGATTACGACAAAAGAGACATCAATATCACTTCAACATTTATTTATTTATTTTAGCATCAAATGAAGAGTACATTGAAGATTTTATTGCAAAACACAAGGCATAAGCTTTATTTGCTGGACGTTGGACCGATCGAGTCGACGTCGATATGAGGAGAACAATGAAGTGTCGGCATGGTAAAAAGACATTGTCTCCCATCCTAATTGCATTTTTTAA